ATACACAGCAATATATCTATACCTACACACACACACACACACCAATATATCTATACCAATTATATATACACACCCAAATATATCTATACCTATATATATATATACACACACACACACACACACACACACATACACACGCACATACATACATGCACACATCAATTTATCTATACACACACACACATACACAGCAATATATATACCAATATATCTATACATTCGCTCTATGATGGCACGCGCTCTGCCTCAATAACTTGAGATAAGTGGAAACTGGTGCCATTTTTGGAATCAGCAGATCAAATAGACCCAGAAACAGGGCTAACATTCGAGGCACCAAAATGTGTGTTGGCCAGTGTAATCTGGATTAGACTCAGGGAGGATTATTGGGGAGTAAATATGAACCGAAGAGCTGAGATTTACTTTCGGGGAGGACAGAAGTAGAGCAAGTCCGTGAGATTTTCTCCTGAGCAAGTGTCTAAAACGTAAATAACAAACAAACAAAAAAAAAACCCACCGAATTATTATTAAGCCTGGGAACTTCCTGTAACTCTTTAGAGTAACAGAAAACAAGTTTTCCAATGTTTCTTTCGTCTCTTCCAACTCTGTAATGGTATTATTCTCTTCCACGATACAAAGTGAATTTAAAAGCCAAGCCCTTGCGCCTTCAGACAAGGATAGTAGTGTCCCATGGGACTGTGCCATTGCCCACTTGAACCCACATCCATTTTCTTAGTTTCCAACAGACCTCACAATCTCTGAGGATGCCTGCCACAGATGCAGGCGAAACGTCAGGAGAGAATGCTTCTAGAACATGGCCATACAGCCCGAAAAACCTACAACAACCCGAAAGCAAATCCTATTTAAATTGAGGGCATTTTCCCTCAAGGAAAAACGGCGAAGCTCAATTTCAAGTCGATATACATTACAAAATGCCCGGCTTAAGTCTAAAAACTACAGCGATACTTTTCAAGGAAAGAAGCAAAGATGTTGAAGAGTCGAGAGCTATGATATTAACAATGTGATTTCACAGCAATTTTGTCAATACCGTAATAATACACCTCAAGTTAAAGCTAAATGTTAAAACGGCGCGCCATGCAGTCATGCCGGCCACATGACCTTGGAGGTGTCTACGGACAACGCCGGCTCTTCGGCTTAGCAATGGAGATGAGCACCCCCCTTCAGAGTTGGACACAACTAGACTTCATGTCAGGGGAAAACCTTTACCTAAACATTAAAACAGAGGGAAATGTGCACACTGAAAAGGAAACTCAAGCTAGTTGTAATACATACAAGCGAATATATACCATAATAAGGGGGAATGGCTGTCAAAAGTCATAATAAGTGTTTTAAAAGGGACTGTGAAAAAAGAGAAGCCTTTAAAAATAATTTTTAAATGGCTCTTGTGGGTTCTTTTTGCAAGGAACTCTCTGAAATGCCCCAGTAGATTGGTTTTGACACTCAATTAGGCTTCTGACATTTGTACTTTTGGAAACCAAACTTCCTGCTGAATGATCCTGCCTCCTTTGGAAAGGGCAAAGCCAGTGGCATGGCCTTATTGAGGAGAACAAGGGTTGAAAGAGAAAATGTGTGTGTGTGTTTGGTGTGTGTGTGTGTGTGTGGGGGGGTGTTCAGGAGGAAAAAGCCCCACTTTATTTGCTCCCAAGGTATGTTCTCGACCAAACAGTAAACAATGGCTTTCCCACAAAAACAGCTCGAGAAGAAAGACTTCAAAGGACACTGAAAAGTTCCAGAAAGCTGCCTCCCTTGGTAAGGAACTTGTTGGTGCTCCAACCCATTTTCCTCTGCTGCTGGGCTATTCCAGACCGATTTCCACGGAAGGAATTTGAGAAGTTCCCCTAAATTGAGCCGGTTGCTGCTGCTGCTAAGGGAAGGACTTCAAAAGGAAATGTATGGACCTCCTTGATACAAAAGTATCGTATCTCTCCCAATCAGCTAACACTTCCCAACAAAAGAATTCCCCCCAGGCAGCAATCAGCCAGGCTTTGAAGCTGCAAGGCCATTCAATGGTAATCAAGGTAGCCAATTGCAACATTCATTCTTGACTCAAACAGACAAGAATTCTTTCTCCCACCCTGGACATTTTTCCACAGATATATCAACCCCACTTGCCAAGTTTCCATCAGACTTCACAGCCTTTGTTAGGAGGTGTTAGCTGGCCCTGATTGAGTCCTGTCTGCAATTCTCCTGTTTTTGAAGCCGCAAGGCTATTCAGTGCTAATCAAGGTGGCCAATTGCAACATTCATACTTGCCTCAAACAGACAAGAGTTCTTTCTCCCACCCTGGACATTATTCCACAGATATATCAACCCCACTTGCCTCACAGCCTCTGAGGATGCCTGCCATAGATGCAGGCGAAACGTCAGGAGGAACTGCTTCTGGAACATATGACCATACAGCCCGGGAAAACTCACAACCCATAGTATCTCTGTTTCTGGATGTATTGATTGAGGAGAATCATAGATTCGTAGAGTTGGAAAAGCCCAGTCCAATTCCTGCCATGCAGGAATATGCAACCCAAACATTCCTGATAGATGAGGATCCAGGCTCTGTTTCTAAACCTCCAGAGAAGGAGACTCCACCACACCATCAGGAAGTTCTTCCTCATGTTTAAGGGGAATCTTTTTTCCCCTACCCACCTAAGTGCAATTTCCAGTGAATAACCTATCCATCTAGAAACAACTGCAGAGGAGTGCTTGGTGGCACAGTGGGTTAAACTCTTGTACCGCCAGTCTGGTTCAACCCAGAGTGTGGTGAGTTCCCGTCTGTCAGCTCCAGCTTCTCATTCGGGGACATGAGAGAAGCCTCACACAGGATGATAAAACATCCAGACGTCCCCCGGGCTGAGGGAATGACCTACCCATCTATGAACAGTTGCATAGGAGCCCCCGGTGCCAACAGGACTGCTGAATGAAAGGTTTAACCTGGGGAACGGGGTGAGCTCCTATCTGTCAGCTCCAGTTTCTCATTTGGAGACATGAGAGAAGCCTTCCACAGGATGGTAAAACATCCAGGCGTCCCCTGGGCATCTATACATCTATGAACAGTTGCATAGGAACCCCGGTGCCGACAGGACTGCTGACCGAAAGATTCAACCCCGCAGGGTGAGCTCCCATCTGTCAGCTCCAGCTTCCCATGTGGGGACATGAGAGAAGGCTCCCACAGATGGTAAAACATCCATCGGTTGCAAACAGCCAATTCTCTCACACCAGAAGCGACTTGCAGTTTCTCAACTCACTCTTGACACCGGTTGCATAGAATCCTAGAGTTGGAAGAAACCACAAGAGCCATCCAGTCCAACTCCAAAGTCATGCAGCAATACAGAAGTATTTCTGACAGATGGGTTATGATAGCTGCATGATTTTTTGACTTTGTACCTTTCTTAGAAGATGAGACTTAGTAAGCTTTCTTTCCTAGGAAGGCATAGCATTGCAGAGTTAGAACTTTAGATTCAAAAGTATGTATTGAAGCAAAAGAAATACATTCTAGATAGAAAAGGTCTTGGAGCTAACTAGATTATCCTAGCTCGCCACAGGTACATTTCTGCTGGTTATGAAGTTTGCTTCTGTACTCTGCTATATTGATGGTGGAATCATCCCAACTGAGGGGCTTTTTTTTTTCTGAGCCTAACAGCTCACATTCCCCAACACCGGCTCTGTTTAATAAACCACAAGAAGAGAAAACTTCACCACACTGTCAGGAAGTCTCTTTTCCTACCTTCTATGTACAATTAACGGAGAATCTACACCCCATTTCAAAGAATCAGTTGTTTTTGTCTTTCGTGTCAGGGGCCACTTGAGAAACTGCAAGTCGCTTCTGGTGTGAGAGAATTGACCGTCTGCGAGGACGTTGCCTAGTGGACACCCGGATCTTTTGATGTTTTACTATCTTTGTGGGAGGCKTCCCTCATGTCCCCGCATGGGGAGCTGGAGCTGGCAGAGGGAGCTCATCCACRTTCGAACCTCCGACCTGTCCTGCCGGCACAAGGGTTTATTTAACCCACTGCGTCACCGGAGGCTCATCAGAGTTGTAAGACACCACACAGGCCGTTTGTCATGCAGGGAGACACAATCCAAACACTACTGACAGCCATCCAGCCTCTGCTGAAAAGCCTCAAGAGAATGAGACTCCACCACACTGTGCAACACCTCTCACTATCAGGAATTACTGCTTCATGGGTTGCTGTAAGTTTATCGGGCTGTGTGGTCATGTTCCAGAAGCATTCTCTCCTGAYGTTTCGCCTGCATCTATGCCAGGCATCCTCAGAGGTTGTGAGGTATATTGGAAGCTAGGCAAGGGAGGTTTATGTATCTGTGGAAGGTCTAGGAGAAAGAACTCTTGTTTGTTGGGAGGCAAGTATACATGTTGTAATTAATCACATTGATTAGCATGTAATGGCCTTTCAGCTTCAAGGCTTGGCTGCTTCCTACCCGTGGGAATCCTTTGTTGGAAGGTGTTAGCTGTCCCTGATGGTTTCATGTCTGGAATTCGGAGTGTTGCTCTTTATTTACTGTCCTGATTTTAGAGATTTTTTTAAATACTGGTATTCAGATTTTGTACATTTTCTCTCAAAACCTCTGAGGATGCCTGCCACAGATGCAGGCGAAACGTCAGGAGAGAATGCTTCTGGAACATGGCCACAAACGTCAGGAGAGAATGCTTCTAGAACATGGCCACACTGCCCGAAAAACGTACAGCCACCCAGTGATTCCGGCCATGAAAGCCTTCGACAATACTTTCTGTTTAGACGGAATCTTTCCTACCCACTTAGGCTCAATTTCCTGGAAAATACGTCCCGACGTGTTGGTAAACCGGACCAGAGGCGCCTCAAAGCCCCCTTTCTTCCAGAAGCGCCCCCAACAAAGGCTTTCTCCCCTTTGCCCGCTTCGCCCTTTCCATCCCATGTGAAACAAGCCTAAAAGGGTACCCCGCGTGTGATCTCTGCACCCCAAAGTCTATAAAAGGAAGTGGCATTACATACGGTTGTTGGGGTCGCCGGTGTGCTGGTTGAGGGGGATGATCTCCATGCGCTGCTGCCCGTAGAGGTAATAGTCCAGCTCTTCGGCCGTGCAGCGGAAGCGGGCCGGGCTCCTCTCGCTGCCCTTGGCCACCCCGGCGCCCCCCAAATCCTTGCCCGGCAGCAACGAGACCGGGCCCGACGCCACGGGAGCCTCGCTGTTGCTCTGCAAAGCGCCGAAGACGGGGATCTGGCCCACCGGGAGCGAGGTCAACGAGGCTAGAGACGCCGCGGCGGCGGCAGCAACGGCAGCGCAGGAAGACGGCGCGGACGACGGCGTGGAGGAGGAAGAAGACGGCGCAGAGGAAGAGGAGGAAGAGGACGAGGAGGAAGGCGGGCCCGGGAGGTGCCGGAGCGCGTCTGCCGGGCTCTCGGGCGGCGGGAGTTGCGGGAGAAGGTGGTGCGGGAGGTGGTGGCCCAGGAGCCCCGCCGCGCCTTTGCTGCCGCCGCTGCTGCTCCCGGAGCGAGGGAAGAGCTGCTGCCAGTGCTGGAGGTACGCCGGGTCCACCTTCAGGAAGGCCGACCCGCCGGGCTCGCCGGGCTTCAGCATGGCGCCTGCCTGCAGGAAGGGGAAGAGAGAAGGGGAAGAAGAAGAGGAGTGAGAAGACCTCTCCGGGTTGGCTGCCTTCAAGGGTGTTGGGTTTCCGTCCCTGACTACACAAGTCTCCAGTCCTCAATGGGTTATGGGCCCAGCAAAGGGGAAGAGCTGTGTGAGAAGACCTCTTCGGTAGGCTGCTTCAAGGGTGTTCAAGTCTTCAAACCTCAATGGGTTATGGGCACAGGAAAGGGGGAGAGCTGTGGACCGTTATAATATTTTCTGGGCTGTATAGGCATTCTCTCCTGACTTTTGGAGGAGGAGGAAGACGAAGAGAAAAGGGGAAGAAGAGGAGTGGGAAGACCTCTCTGGGTTGGCTGCCTTCAAGGGTGTTCAAGTCTCCAATCCTCAGTGGGTTATGGGCCCAGCAAAGGGGGAGAGCTGTGGACACTTATAATATTTTCTGGGCTGTATAGACGTGTTCCAGAAGCATTCTCTCCCGACTTTTCGAGGAAGAGGAAGAAGAACAGAAAAGGAGAAGAAGAGGAATGAGAAGACCTCTTCGGGTAGGCTGCCTTCAAGGGTGTTCAAGTCTCCAATCGTCACTGGGTTATGGGCCCAGCAAAGAGGAAGAGCTATGGACAGTGACAATATTTTCTGGGATGTATAGCCACAATTGTCGAAGCATTCTCTCCTGGCGTTTTGTCCACACCTATGGAAGGTGTGAGATCTGTGAGGATGCCATACACTTTTGGAAATCAAGTTCCCCTAAACTGAGCCGGTTGCTGCTGCTAAGAGAAGGTCTTCAAAAGGAAATGATACAAAAGCATGATATCTCTCCCACCCTGGACATTCCACAGATATAGAAACCCCACTTGTCTCTTTTCCAACAGACCTCACAACCTCTGAGGATGCCTGCCATAGATGTGGCCGAAAGGTCAGGAGAAAATGCTTTCAGAAAATGGTCATACAGCCCTGAAAACTCTCAGCAACCCAGTGATTCCGGCCATGAAAGCCTTCGACAATTATGGTGCAATGGGTTAAACCAGACATGGGCAAACTTTGGTTCTCCAGGTGTTTTGGACTTCAACTCCCAGAATTCCTAACAGCCTCAGGCCCTTTCCTTTCCCTCCTCAGCCGCTTAAGCGGCCTGAGGCTGTTAGGAATTCTGGGAATTGAAGTCCAAAGCACCTGGAGAACCAGGACAGGTGGGGGGTTCGAATCCGGGGAGTGAGCGGATGAGCTCCCTCTGTCAGCTCCAGCTCCCCATGCGGAGACATGAGAGAAGCCTCCCACAAGGATGGTAAAACATCAAAACATCACCCAAAGTGGAGAAGCGGCTGTCGGCTTCCCTTCACCCAGGAACTGGAGCCCTACATTTCAGCAGAAGCGGAGGAAGGAGAGTGGACACTTCGCGGACCAGTTCAACTCTTCTTACACCCACCCTGCGCCGAAGACCCCCCCCCCCGCCCCAAGGACGACACGCTTTCCCTCCCGTGGTCCCAGGGTGCCTCTTCCCAGGGATAAGGGAGCAGAGGCGGAAGGGAGAGAGAGAGCGGCAACTCCGCGGAGTGCGGCAAGAGTCCTCACCCTCCACGCACCGCTGCTTCAAATACTCCAGAAAACTTTCCTTCTCTTCCCTTAAAGAGCGCTCATTGCTGCCCGGTGCCTTCAAAGATTGAGAAAGAGAGAGTAAAAGGGAGAGAGAGGGTAAAAGCGAGAGGGGAAAAGCAGGGAGAGAGAGAGAGGAATAGAAAGTAGGAGAGAGGGAGAAAGTGGGAAAGAGAGCTCTCCGGTGAACGAAGCCCCCATACACTTCCCTTCCCTCCCTCTCCAGCCGGAAAGCTGCCCACAATCATGTTCCCTGTATTGTCGAAGGCTTTCATGGCCGGAATCACTGGGTTGCTGTGAGTTTTCTGGGCTGTATGGCCAAGATCCAGAAGCATTCTCTCCTGATGTGGGCGAAACGTCAGGAATATGGCCAAACAGCCTGGAAAACTCGTAACAACCCAACAAAGACAGCAAGAAGCCAGACCTTGAAACTGCTAGGCCATTACATGCTAATCAAAGTGGCCAATTGCAACATTCACCCTTTCCTCCAACAGACAAGAGTCCTTTCTCCCACTCATGACCTTCCACAGAGATATCAATCAACCCCATTTTCCTAGCTTCCAACAGACTTCACAACCTCTGAGGATCCCTGCCATAGATGCAGGCGAAATGTCAGGAGAGAATGCTTCTGGAACATGGCCATACAGTCCGGAAAACTCACAACAACCCAACCTAATCCTGTTCCTCTTTTCCTCCTCGGCTTTCTTCCGGCGGGAGAAGGGAGCGTGAGGAATCGCCGCCTGGAATGCGCTTCCTTGGGCTTCCTTTGGCCGAGTTCGTGACCTCCTCCCCACAGTCCCCCCCCCCCACACCATCCCGTCCTCCCACGCCGCGCTTCCAATTTACCTGAGTGCCTTCGGATGGGCTTAGAGAGGAAGTCCCTCAGACCTGTCCGGACGCTTGGAGGGGACAAGAGTCAAGGAAGGAGGCAGCGGGGCCGAAGTTGCCTGGGAGAAGCTCGGAGTGGGCGGAGAGACGGAGGAGGGGAGGGAGGGGGTCCTCCACGAGGAGGAGGAGGAAGCTCCCCCTCTTTCTCTCTCTCTCTCTTTTTCTCCCTCCCTCCCTCCCTCCCTCTTTCGCTCTCTCTTCCTTGGCTTCTTGCGGAGCGGACCGTGTCGGCCGGGCTCGGCAGCACTGGGCGCTCTGGCTGCTTTGGGCAGAGAGAGAGAGAGAGAGACACGTGGGTTTTACGACAGCATTAAACACAAGCATGGGAGGGGTGGAGGGGGGAGATGGGGAGAGGGGAGGAAGGGCGGCAGATGAAACCTAGAGAGCCCCTCTCCTTCCCTTCTTGCACCCCGGCACTTTCTTGGTTTACGTTGAGGGAAATGAGAAAGCGGGTCTACTTTGGGATGTTGTGAGTTGTTGGGCTTTACGGCCATGTTTCAGAAGCATTCTCTCCTGGCGTTTCGCCTGCATCTATGGCTGGCATACTCAGAGGTTGTGAGGTATATTGGAAACTAAGCAAGTTTCCAATATACTTGGAATAATGTCCAAGGTGGGAGAAAGAACTCTTGTCTGTTTGAGGCAAGTGTGAATATTGCAATTAGCCATCTTGATTAGCATTGAATGGCCTAGCAGTTTCAAGGTCTGACTTCTTACTGCCTGGGGGAATCCTTTGTTGGGGGGTGATTAGCTGGCCCTGATTATAACCTCTCAACCTGCCATAGGTGCAGGCGAAACGTCAGGAGAAAACATGGCCACACATCGCGGAAAACTTACAACAACCCGGTGATTTCGGCCCTGAAAACCTTCGGCTCTACTTTACTGGAGAGGCAAGGACTGAAGGGAAGAGGGAAGCACCCCAAAGGAGACTTTTTGTCCCCTGGAGCTATAAGGCTTCATTCACCTTCAAGCCGGTATTGATAGAAGTGTTTTCTCTATGCAGATTTTTTTTTCCGTGTCAGGAGCGACTTGAGAAATTCCAAGTCACTTCTGGTGTGACAGAATTGGCCGTCTGCAAGGATGTTGCCCAGGGGACGCCCGGATGTTTGCTGTTTTACCATCCTTGTGTGAGGCTTCTCTCATGTTCCCGCATGGGAAGCTGGAGCTGACAGACAGGAGCTCACCCCGTTCCCCTGAACCTTTTGGTCAGCAGTACAGCTGGCACCGGGCGGGTGTTTGTTGTTTTACCATCCCTGTGTGAGGCTTCTCTCATGTCCCTGCATGGGAAGCTAGTGATGACAGATAGGAGCTCACCCCGTTCCCCTGAATCTTTTGGTCAGCAGTCCTGCTGGCTCCTATGCAACTGTTCATAGATGGGTAGGTGCCCAGGGGACGCCCGGATGTTTGATGTTTTACCATCCTTGTGTGAGGCTTCTTTCATGTCCCTGCATAGGAAGCTAGAGCTGACAGACAGGAGCTCACTCCTTTCCCTTGAACCTTTTGATCAGCAGTCCTTCCGGCACTGGGGGCTCCTATGCAACTGTTCACAGATGGGTAGGCGCCCAGGGGACGCCCGGATGTTTGATGTTTTACCATCCTGTGGGAGGCTTCTTTCCTGTCCCCCGCATGAGAAGCTGGAGCTGACAGACGGGAGCTCACCCCGCTCCCCGTCCTGCCGGTACAAGGCTTTAACCCTTTGCGCCACCGGGAAGCTCGCGTGCAGATGATTACCTAGGAAACCAGATATTGACCCTGACAATGAGGACGTGAACCCCAGAACACTGAGGCGCATTGAAACGCCGTCTTTCTCACGCTTTGACTCTCCGGCCAGCGGCGCATTTTGGAGCTGGCTTCCAATAACAGTCAACGCTCAGTATGAATGCTCAGTACCCTTAAAATAGAAGCTCTGGCGGGAACGTTCCCCCAAAAGGGAAAGAAAGGTCTCTCCCGCGCCGTCTTTTGCACGCTTCTGCGAGAGTTTGGCTCTCCGGCCTGCGGTGCATTTTGGAGCTGGCTTCCAACGGCAGTCAGTGCTCAACCTTGAAATAGAAACTCCGGCGGAAACTTTCCCCCCCAAAAGGGAAAGCAAATTCTCTTCCCGAAAGCAAAGAGATGGACTAGGGAAGCCTAGACTATAGAAACCATGACTCTGAAAGGCTTGAGGTCTGGTCCGAGGTGGCCAAGTGGGTGGCCTTGTTCTGGGTATGTTTTGAAAATATCCTGGAAGTTTCTCCCGTAAAGTGGCTGCCCTATACTCCTGGAAAGAAGAGAATGCACACTTAATGGACATAGGGAAGGTATGGGCAAACTGGGCCCCTCCAGGTGTTTTGGACTTCAACTCCCACCATTCCTCACAGCCTCAGGCCCTTTCCTTTCCCCCCTCAGCCGCTTAAGCTTAAGCGGCTGAGGGGGGAAAGGAAGGGGCCTGAGGCTGTGAGGAATGGTGGGAGTTGGAAGTCCAAAACACCCGGAAGGCCCCAGTTTGCTCATACCTGGGGCGGCCCATCAGAAAGAGTTTTGGGCCAAAGAAATGGATCCCGGGAGTGGACCTCCCTCCCTCCTCGGTGCCTCTTGGTCTGCCCCTTTCTCCCTCGCCCGTGGGGCTGTTTTCCTTTCCTTTTTCCGAGCCTGGGAACCGTGGGGCTGTTTAGTTTCTGTCTGTATCCCGGACAGGACGTTTTCGCACCAATCTGAAAGCTAGTTGGGGACTTCGGTGTTTGGCCTGGCGTCCTTTTGACAAGGCCATTCGTCATTTGGGGGAAATAGATTGATAACACCTCCGTTCCAGGCAAACACAGAACTGGGAGGACTGAATTGGAGAAAATAATAATAACAATACTAATAATAACTTGTAATGTTCAGAGATTTCAAGGCCTGAGTTGTGTTAGATAGAATGAACTTCCACTTTTTTCCTTTCTGGAGATGTTGCTATTGGAAGTCCCTTCCACACAGTGGAATAAAATCCCACATTATCAGCTTTGAACTGGAATATATGGCAGTGTGGACTCGGATAACCCGGTTCAAAGCATATATGTATTTGTGGGATGTTTCCGCCTCGATATTCTGGGTTATATGGCCCCGGAATTGAAGGGAAAGGAGACAGACTCCACTCAAGGTGAATAGAATCACAAAATCCTTTAACAGCCTCACTAAACTACAATCCCAGAATTCTGCAGGAATTTAAGTGGATTTTTTCTCGAGTGTGATGAAGTAGATTGTCGAAAGCTTTCGTGGCCGGAATTACTGGGTTGTTGTGAGTTTTCCGGGCTGTATGGTCATATGTTCCAGAAGCATTCTCTCCTGACGTTTCGTCCACATCTATGGCAAGCATCTTCAGCGGTTGTGAGGTCTGTTGGAAACTAGAAAAATGGGGTTTATAAATCTGTGGAATGTCCAGGGTGGGAGAAAGAACTCTTGTGTTTTGGAGGAAAGGGTGAATGTTTCAATTGGCCACCTTGATTAGCATTGAATGGCCTAGCAGTTTCAACGTCTGGCTTCTTACTGCCTGGGGGAATACTTTGTTGGGAGGTGATTAGCTGGCCCCGATTGTAAATCAGATATTTATTTAAAAGCAAGAATAAAGGTGGGATAGGAAACCTTGTCTTTAAACGGAAGTCCCAATGATGGCGGATTGACTTCACAGTAAAGATACTTGAGTCGTGGAGAAAAAGCACAACCTGTAGCTTTTGTGATCACAAGAAGGGAATGCTTGCAATACAGGTTATTTGTACAACAGGACTCTTAGTTGTACAAATAACATATTATTAGAAGGAAAGATTTCTGACTCTCTTTCAGAGGGAGGCGAGAGTAGCATCCGTATTCCTGACTGCGAACCAAGGCAGGATCCGCTCTGTTTTTACGACAGGAGGAGCAGATCGCTTTGCGTTTAGGGAAGAAAAGCAGCTTTGTAAACATCTCCCGGCCTCCCGGCAATTCCCCCTCCTCCATCGCAAAAAATAATTCCCATAGGCACGAACGTGTTAGGAGCGACTGGAGAAACTGCAAGTCGCTTCTGGTGTAAGAGAATTGGCCGTCTGCAAGGACGTTGCCCAGGAGACGCCCAGATGTTTTACCGTCCTGTGGGAGGCTTCTCTCATGTCTCCGTATGGGAAGCTGGGGCTGACAGACGGGAGCTCAGTCACTTCCCTTCCCGGTTTGATAACACTTTAACTGCTCTGGCTCAATGCTATGGGATCTTGCATCTATAACAGGCATCCTCAGAGGTTGTGAGGTATATTGGAAATTAGGAAAGTGAGGTTTCTGTATCTGTGGAATTAATGTCCAGGGTGGAGAAAGAACTCTTTCCTGTTTGAGGCAAGTGTGAATATTGCAACTGGCCACCATTGAATGGCCTAGCAGTTTCAAGGTCTGGCTTCTTACTGCCTGGTTTGGTGAGGCACCAGCACTCTGTGGCAGAGGAGGCTAAAGAGCGTGTAAAACTTCAACACCCAAGTCTCCATAGCATTGAGTCAAAGGGGTGTCAGACATTCATTCTACAGAGATGCCCTCTCTCTTTGAGTTCCACTACATGGCCATACAGCCCGGAAAACTCACAGCAACCCAATGATTCTGGCCATGAAAGCTTTCAACAACACACCCCCACTTTCCTCGCTCGTTTACGACCAGTAAATATTTACTGGACGTAAATATTTCTCTCCCCCCCCCCAACTAATTCAGTGAGGAGGGGTACCTCTTCATGTTCTAGAAGCATTCTCCCCTGACCTTTCGCCTGCATCTATGGCAAACATCCTCCGAGGCTGCTTCCTGCCTGTGGGAATCCTTTGTTGGAAGGTATTGATGGTTTCATGTCTGAAATTCCCCTGTTTTCAGAGTGTTGCTCTTCATTTCCTGTCCTGATTTTAGAGTTTAAAAAAACTACAGATTTTGTTCATTGTCTCTCAACGTCTGAAGATGCTTGCCATAGATGTAGGCGAAAACGTCAGGAGAGAATGCTTCTAGAACATGGCCACATAGCCGAAAAACCTACAACCCTATTATTATTATTATTATTATTATTATTATTATTATTATTATTATTATTTAGCAGTATAGACTCATATAATCAGATAATCCGGTTTATATGACAGTGTAGATCCAGCCTCAGGAAGCTAGAGCAGGAAGGAATCACAGGGATTGT